GCAAGATGAAACAAAAGAATAGCTATATGAAAGAATCATTGCTATAGAAAGACAACAAAAAATTACAAGAAAACTGACATACAAAGAATAACGATCACTTGTACAATATAGAATTTAGGTATAAGCTCAAATTTTATCTTAGCGTTGATTGAATCTATATGCTATTCACAAAGTTAGTTTAGAGCACAAGATATAAGCATATAAGTAAAGATGGGTCCCTAAAGGGAGAGGCAGGGACAAAAGTCAAATGTTTCTTACTAGGAAACATTAAAATTTTTAAATTAATAACTATTAAAAAACTATCTACAATTGTTTTCTATTATCTAAATCATTGATTTATAGTATTTCCTGACTTTTGTTCCTATTAAAATAAAGAGCTATGAATTTTGTTCCTCAAAAAAGGACATAAGTGATCTGTGAAATTTTATATGCTAAATACTTTAGGAACTCATATTACATATAAGTATATAGATAGAAGACTATTCTATCTATACACTTAACTATACTGTACTTGTGTATGTTAAATAATCTCCTAGAAACTCGTGCATGTATGCAACTTGCTGACAAATATATGTTACCAGATAAAGCCATATAAAATAAAGACCATCAAAATTGTATAAGTCCGAAGAACAGACCAAATAATAGCAAAAGACTGAGAAAGAGCCATTGAAACCTAAAAGGAATCAAAAGACATTGCCTACGGGAGACCAAGAGCCATTGAAACCCAAAAGGAATCAAAAAACATTGCTTACGGGAGACCGGCTGAGTGAAATGCATTTCAAAATAGTTGAAGTCATCAAAATCATTTCAGGAAAGAGACAGATGAAAGAACTCTAGCAATACTATTTTCCCACTCCCAAGAAGACATAAGTTAGTATATGGGCAAGGAAAAAAGACAACAAGAGCAAAAGAAATGCAAAGAACTTATCAAAATACCATCAAAACTGTCAGGAACAAAGGAAGGAAAGAAACCCAGTAACTGAAGAAATAGATAAATGAGATTTGTTGATATCACATCAAATACAATAGGGTTAATAAAAAAAACTCAAAAGAAAAAAACAAGAATGAAAGAAATGAAAGAACTTATCTAAACACCATAAGAGATCACTAGAAATGAAGAAAGTTCCAGGACTGAAATTGTCATGAATATTCAAAAGATCACAGGAAGGAAAGGAACCCTAGATAATGAAAAGGAAGAGAAATGAAATAGAGAGGTTAGTAGGGATAGGAAAAGGCTTCTATGATCTGAAGACATTTATCAGAAGGAAGCTTACCTAAGTTTGAAACAACTATATTGCAAACATCGAATTCTGAAATCATTGAGAAGAACAACAAACGAATAAAACTGAGAAACACTATCACTGAAAGAATAGAATTAGTCAAGAAAAGGAAGAATTCAATAAATAGAGACATAAAAAGACTTACCTAAGAATTTCAGAGACTATCAGAACTCCAATCACTATAAACAAGAGCCAAAATCCAGAAAACCACCCAAAATCAATAAAAAGAAGGAAGTTACACTATTCAAAAAGAAAAAAAAAGTTTAGTATCAAAGAATAGAAGACAAAAGAAATACAGAATAATGAAGAAATCACCAAAAGAATAGGAAGGTAGAAACTTACCTTAAGAGGGTCAAGATACTCTAAATAGCTAAAGGAATGCTCGGGAGTCATTGAAATACTGATCGCAATAGAAAATTTCAAACAAAAGGATCAGATGAACAATATACTGCAACCCTAGCAGACTTTATGATCCTGAATCAGAAAAAAGAAGTTAGTATAGCCAATAAAACAAGATAAAAAACACATACTATGAAAAAAAAAAAAGAACTGTCATTTATGAAAAAAAGAAACCTGCAAAAGAAAAAAACCACCCAACAAGATTGAAGAAGATCAAAACTACCAAATTTCAAAATTCCTCTCTTATATACGAGAAACTGCTGAACCTATAAAAGACTAGAGAACCAAAAAGCCAAAAAGAAGAGCTGTTAAAAGACAACAAGAGAAAGTACATATCAGGATTTACCATATCAAAGCATCAATAATAGAACTCGTAACTCCTCCTCCTTGTCAAAGATATTTAAAAATGTTTATAAGAAAGGAGCACTAAAAATAGGAGAACTTACCTTATTCATGAAATCTGTAAAGAACAGTTGTGCTACAAAACAAGATATATGGCTACGATTGTATCTGGAATAATTAAAAACCTTATACTACCATGCAAATTTTGGGTTTTATAGGAAGTAGCTAACCCTATAGCTCAAAACAAACATGGGCAAGTGATCACGAGAAATCGAAATAAACACAACCAACATGAGATCATGAATATGAATACATATATACTAAATGCTAGAAGCTTATTCTGAAATTTGTATATACTAGACATGAATAGTGGATCATAAGAAATTGACAAACATATTAGAAACTCCAAGAATCACATATTACAATTCACCATCACAAGAATGAACCATAATCCCTTTGCAGTGAATCATAGAAATGATATATACAAGGACATAATCCATTAGTCATCTTCTCTGTGCAAGTAAATACAAAATCAAAATCAAAAGAAAGAAAGTGTTGAGCAAGATACTGGATCTAATTAGGTGATAAGTACCTCAGATGGTTACAAGAAAATAATTAAGAGCATGAATGAATAAGTTCCTCAAATGGTCAGAAAGAAGAAGAATATTCCAGAAAGATTGACTCCTAATAAGAAGAGATTTCTAGCAGAAGTCCTTTGAAGGACATGGAGCACTTTTATTTTTTCTTTTTATTTTCATGTAGCATAGTTGTGCATTTTTAGATATTCACCTTCCTTTTATTTTTCTTTTTCTCTTTTGTAGTTTCTTGAATTCAGTTCCTTGAAGAATAATAAGCAGTGACAACTTGCTGACAATGATGGATAAGTTAGGAGAGTCTTTATTCAAAACTTAGTTCAGAGTGAAATATTGTTCTCAAGGTTGCACTTAGAGACTAAAGCTCTTTTGAGAATTGAAAGCCATTGACGAATATATCAATACAAGTCTTTTAGTTTAACTATAATACAATTGCCCTATATATCTCAATTGATTTTCTTAATGATTAATAAACATAAGTACTGGCCTGATTATGGGTATAAAATATATATATATATATATATATATTTTTATAATCATAATCAACTTTTTCTATTGATCCTCTGACATATACAAAAAAGATATTCATAAAAAGTTTTTATACTTCTATATTAATAAAGTCTTAATACTTTCTTTAAATCAACTTAAAAAATTTCAAGAGTTATCATTACCCCCCTTTCTTTTTGTTAATATTTCTCTTTAAACAAAAACTTGACTGCTAGTAATCAAAAAGTCAAGCAATACCTTTTCTATCAAGAGCAAGAAAGTTCTGAAAGAAAGAAGAATTAATATATTGTTATCTCACACTATAGAGAAACAATACAGAATATTTTTGAATTGATAAGAGACAACATTTCTATTCTCTTATTATATGTAATACTTTAATAATACTCATTCTTAATTTTTTCTGAGGAATTTTGTCTACTTCAGTTTGATCTTAAATTTTGAGTAATATAAAGTTTCTCACACCATGATTAAACAGATAGAGCTTATATTAGTAAAAAAAAATAAACAAACTTCTATTGATTATCTCATGTATTTGAATATATTTTCTTAGTTTTATAAAAACTTGAGGTTCACTATAAGTTACTTGATTTATGTGTAGGTAGATGTAGGATAAGCAAATTTCCTATGTCAAAGATACAGTATCTTGAAAAGAAAACTATTAAAATAGGATTTATTGGATAATCAACAAAGACCTTTTCTTTCTTCTCCTTTTCAACAGATATATCAATATTTGGAATGGTATCTTTTTGAAGATTTTGATATTTCTATTCTCTTATTGTATACTAACATATCTCTTGAATACAACCATCTCATTTAAAATTTTTCTTTTGGAATAACATGTCTCACCTAAGCATATATATTAGGAGGAATCTAAAAAAATCGATAAATCTTCTTTCTCGATGCATGAATTAGATTAATCCAAGTTATTTTTTCTGATAACAAGCCATTCTGTAGGTTAGAGTAATTAGAATTTCATAACATGGAGATATTGAAAATAGCCAAGGAATAGGTAATATATTCTTGATTGATAAAGTCCTCAAAGAGTAACCTTAAAATAATAATAGTAGTATAAAATTTTAACTCTTATAGACAACTCTAAAAATGTTTTATTAGTAATTATTTCTTGTATTCACATTATGTCATAACTTGAAAGTTTAATAAAATAATGCTGAGTCCCCATTTCAAAAAAAATATATTTTTTTATAATCGAAATATTATGTCCTTATAGCCAAAAGTCAGCCTGATTTACTATATGTCCTACTTATGTCCCTATCAACTATTTTAAGAACCCATCTTTAATTATCAATCTATTAGGGAAGTATAATATTGTCCCAAAATCTGACTTAGAATACTTACTGTATAATATTGTCCCAAAATCTGACTTAGAATACTTATTGTATGTATGAAGACAAGTTAGTCACTTTAATTTCTCAATAAAGACAAACCATTATGGCATGATTGCAGGTTAAAAAAAAAATAAAATAAAAATAAGAAGTGAAGCTTAAGAAAAGAAATGTTGTTTTTTATTATTCATCTAGTAAAATACTGTATATCACCTATTTGAAATTTCCGTACTATATATAGGGGCTTCCACGGCGCAAGATCAAATGGCGATCTGCCTATTCTGGCATACCGCCAATTTGTGACACCCTGCGCGTCTTTTGCTAATGTTAGCGCGTCTTTTCTTTTTTACCTCGTTTTTATAAAAAAGTTCGATATACAGTATATATTTCTTATTTTCGTTCTTAATTATGTCTACTTCTGCAACTTCGAACTACCGCTCCTGGGACACCGAGAATCTTATTATTTTTTTGCGTAAACAAAATTTAAACCTTGATGAGGACGATTTTAGTATTCTTCGCAAAAAAACTTCCCGGACATGACCAAAGAAAAGTTCATGAAAGATGGCATGAAAAAGTTGTCTGCTATAAAACTTGAAAATCAAGCGAAAGTCTTCAAAAGGGGCCATATCGGATACTTTTGGCTCTTTCCATGCGATGTTTGGTCTATTCAGCATTTTATATCCTGGTCCACCAATATGTTTGGCCCTGTCGAGAGAAATGTAGCGCATACAATATTTTACAATACTTTATATATTCTTCGTGATGATTCGGAGACCTCAAAAGAGATTCTTGAAGTTGTTAGAAATCTTTTACATGAGAAAAAGGTATGTAGTTTTATTTTGTAGCCCAAACACGCATTTTTCAGATATGATATATCAAGTACAAGAAGCTTTCGTTTGGGGATGTGTAGGCTCTCGGTTATTGCAGTACTTTAGCATAATCATTCTGTTCGATGCAATGAGATTACTTGACGATATTTTTTTGATAAAGGACTACTGATTCTAGAAGAGGTACCTCCTTTTGATAAAAGTATATGAAGTAATTTTCCGTGTTCTGAGCATATAATTTAAAGAATACTTAGTTGTTACTTCTGATAAAACCTTTCTAAAAATATTTAATTTCTTATTTCTTTACCCCAATTATTTTTGGGGGGGATTTATGTAGACTGGCGAAAAAAAAGATTCACAAAACTTAATCGACAAGAAGTGATATAGAGACCAGTATCGGCAGGGTTCCCGCCAAAATCACGTGAATTTTCTTGATCATGTTAATATTTCTGATGATAATAAAATATTCTATTTTCGACTATACCTATTAGTCTTGGGAAAAATTATTGCATTTTAAAAGCTAGCTGAAATGTAATGTATTTTTTCTATATGCAAGGTGTTGCAAAAATATATATATATATATTATATTTAGTTAAATTTTAATAAAAATTAATTTTAGTCATATTATTATAACGTGTTTTTATTGAGATGTTAATGAAATTATTATTTAAAAAAACTATACTGCTTAAAAAATTTAAGTTTATTAAATTAATTTAATTAAAGTACTTTAAATTAGATTTAGAAAACAATATTTTACTTTCTTGATAGATTGATATTTTGATCTCTATTTATTAAAATTCATTAATAGTTTGTTACTATTTATCATTCTATAACTATAAATTATTGAATATATTGAAAAAGAAAAATACTGTAATTTGAAGTTTTCATAAAAGATTTTTAATTAAATTAATAATTTTCTTTTAAAAAAATATAATATATCTAATTAAAATAGTTTTCTTGTTTTAGGCTATTTAAAAAACTTATTTTTAAAAATTTAATTAATTGAAATAAAACAAAATATTTTAATTTTTATTTAGTTAAGTCTTTTTATTACTTAAAAAACTTAATCAAAAAATAAAATATAGTAATATTTTTTACTTGTTTTTTGATATTATGCAATAATTATTTTCTTGAATAAATTTATTTTAAACTTTTTTTTTAATATAAATAATATTATTAAAGTATATAATTATAATTAATAAAAACTTTTTTTTTTTAATACTTATGATCAGGTTAATATAGTGTATTTATTAATTATAAATAATAAAACCATTTATAATACATTAAACAAATTTTTGAAATGGCAACTAAGCCTTGTTTTATCAAAGTTTCAAGTCAGGGCAAAATGTAAATACAAGAAATAATTATTAATAAAACATTTCTAGAGTTGTCTATAAAAGTTAAAATTTTATGCTATTACTATCACTTTGATTCTGTAAGCTGGTTACTCTTCGTGAACTTTGTCAGTCGAGGGCATATTGCTTGTTCCTCAGCTGTTTTCAATATCTTAATGTTGTAAAATTTTAATCACTCCAATTTATAGGATGGCTTGTTATCAAGAAGAATAATTAATTTACGCACTGGAAAAAAAGATTCATCAATCTTTATAAATTCCTTCTGACATATGTGCTTAGTTGAGACATATCATCTCAAAGAAAAATTTGAAGAGAGATAGTTATGTTCGAAGAGTATATCAGCATATAATGAGAAAGTGGGAGTATCAAAAACCCTCCAAAAAGATACTATCCCAGGTATTATTATATCTGTTAAAGAGGAGGAGGAGGGAGAGATCTTTATTGACTATCCAATAAATCTTATTCCAACAGTTCTCTTTCCAAGAGATCACTGATATAAGAGATTTGCTTGTCCTATATCTATCTACACATCTTAACCGGATAACTTATAATGGATCCCAGGTTCTTATGGAGCTAAGGAAATGTATTCAGACATGTGATATAATCAATGGAAGCTTGTTTACTTATTTTACTAATGTGAGCTCTATCTATTCAATTATAATATAAAAAACTTTGTGCTATTTAAAATTTAGGATCAAATTAAGGTAGATAAAATTTTCAAAAAAAAATCAAGAATGAGTATTATAAGAAGTTATCAATGACAAGAGAGTGAAAAAGTTGTCTCTCATTATAAACATGCTTCTGTATTGTTTTTTTACAGTGTGAGATGATGACACATTAGTTCTTTTTCCTTTTAGAACTTTTTTGCCCTTGGTAGGAAAGGTGTTGCTTGACTTTCTGATTACGAATAATCAAGTTTTTGTATAAAGAGGAGTGTTAACAAGAAAGAAGAGAAGTAGTAGTGACTCTTGAAGTTTTTTCAAGTTGGTTTAAAAAAAGTGTTAAGACTTTATTAATATAGAAATATGAAAACTTCTTGTAAACATCTTTTTTGTATATAGTCAGAGGATCAGCGGAAAGAGTTTTTTTGTAATACATTAGACAAATATATTATGGTTAAACTAAATCTTATATTAATTCATTCATTATAAGCTTTCAATACTTAAATAAGCTTTAGCCTCTAAATATAACTTTGAGAACAATATTTCGTTTCAAGATAAGTTCTAGATAAAAATCCTCCCAACTTACCTATTATTGTTAGCAAATTGCCACTGTCAATTATTTTTCAAGAAATTGATTTTTGAAAACTATAATAGGAAAAAGGAAAAATAAAAAGAAGATGTATATATAAATATGAATAATTGTATTTACATAAAGAGAAAAAGAAAAAAAGAAAATAAAATTACTTCATATTCTCCAAAGAACCTCTACTAAAGATCTTCTTTTATTAGAAATTAACTTTTCTGAAATATTCTTTTTCTTCTTGATTATCTGAGAAACTTATCTATTTGTGATTTTGATTATTTTCTTATACCTATTTGAGATACTTATCACCTACTTGAATTCAACATCTTGTTTGTCATTTCTTTTCTTTCAGTATTGATTCTTTATCTACTTATACAAACCTTAACAACTTATAGTAAACTTCAAGTTCTTATGTAACCTTTCAGTCATATTGTGTAGCTACCAATATCTTTCAATAATCATACTTAATTAAAGAAATTTTACTGATATATATTTTCTATTGCTCAAAAAGTCATTTTCCAAAAATTTTTTTGCTTTACAATAATAAGAGAGTCTCGAGAGTGATAGGAATCCTTATCGATTGTGATATCCTTTAACAACTTTTAAGAAAATACATTCTCAACTATAATTAAAAGATTGAAGCTTAATATAAACTAGAGACTATTTAATCTTATTGCCTAACTGAAATAAAAAAAAGATCTTGATCTTGAACTTTGTCTGACTGGGATGATAGAAGATAAAGACCTCAGCTTAAACAAATAGCAATCTTTTATTACCTAGAGACTTGTTATTTATATCTTATTGATCTCATGGAATTTAATCTATAGGTTAATCCAATTGAAGAAGTGGAGTAAACACAGGGTACCAATCAATTCTTTCAATCATCAATAGTATTATTGAAACACATAAAATAACCAGTAGGGACTTGTTTATATTTAGCTACTAATATGTTTCGTATTAATCAATCAAATGTCAGATGACATAATGCTACCAAAAATTTAAGGTTAATTTGAGGTATACAAAATTTCTCAAGAAAATTATAAAAATTAGTAGACACTTTAAGAAAGTACAAGACAGTATATAAAAAGGTGAATAATAAATCTTTCCTATTAATAAAATCTTTATTCCTTATTGCTTTCAGCTCTATAAGATGACACTCTACTTGTCAACCCTTTTACTTCCTAGAACCTTCTTGCCCTTGGTAAAGAAAATACATACTTGAGTCTTTTTAGGCCACCAGAGACTCAAGTTTTTATTCAAAGGAGTTTATAAATAAGTAAGGGAGGATAGAAAAATAAGTGAAAACAAGCTTCAATTTGTTTTAATAAAGTATAAAAACTTTATTAGCAAGAAAGTATAAAACTTCTTGCAAACATCTTTTTTGTATATAATTAGAGAATCAGTAAAAAGAGTTACTAACAAATAATTTATTATTTTATCTTATTAATTATATATTGTGATAAAAATAATCTCTAATACCATTGGATAGTTATTTTTAGTCATGATCTTCATTCTATTTCTATTTTTATCTATTTATTTATAATTAT